AACCTTCTTTAGCTGCTAATTAATATGAATTTGCTCTATTAAATACTTATTATAGTGGTATTATTTTTGAAAATAGTGAAATTAATATATGTAAAAGATTTTTATCTTTTAGATGTGATGATTTGCCACATTTTTAGAGGAAATTTAATGTTCTTAATAAAGAGAATTGCTATTTTTCAATTAACATACATGTAGAATGGTATATAAAACTAGGAAACTAGCCAAAAACAGTTTTTCATATTATAAATTTTTTATCGCCTAGGCGCCCACCTAGGTGACTAGGCGACTAGGCACCCCAGTGTCGCCCAGAATCGCCTAGACGCCTTGAAAACTATGGTGAAGAGTACAGAACTGTGCACACAACTCACACAAAAAACTCTAAACCCCAAATACACCCAAAATCGCTCAACTTCTCTCTCAAGACAAAAAGTGTATACAAAGGAAAACCCCCAAACTACATAACTCTTCGTGTTCAGGTTGGACCCATAAGTTGAATATGGATTGGGTTCGTATTCCACCACAAACCACTATGAAAATTTGCCCTTGTGTTTTTCTCAACTTAATTTGAAATGGGTCATGAAGCAAGTCACAATAAAGAATTCAAGGCACAACCATAACATGTATATTGTTTGGAAATCATGGACATATGAAATTGGAGGACTACACATATGCAACTTGGGCAAGATGTTTAGATGATAGGAGATCTCAATCAGGTTTTTGTACCTTTGTTGGGGGTAACGTGGTTTCATGGAAGAGTTAGAATTAGTCTATAGTGGCTAGATTGAGTGCCGAGGTAGAATACAGAACCATGGCTCATGGAATCCCAAGTTACTTTGGATTCAGTCCCTATTGGGTGAGCTTGGGGTTGTTGCAAAGCAACCTGTGATGTTGTATTGAAATAATCAAACCACAATGGACATCGCCCACAACCCAGTTTAGTATGATAGGACAAAGCCTATTGAAGTTAGACACTTCATAAGAGATAGGGTGACAGTAGGAGAAGTATGCATGCCATATGTATCATCTGATTTACAGCTAGTTGATGTCTTCACCAAGGGAGTTGCCAAAAACAAGCTTGAGCATGATCTACACAAGTTGGGAATGTTTGATATTTATTCCCAACTTGAGGAGTGCTAAGGATTTATTTATTTTTTATTTATTTGGTTATTAGTTGCTGTTATTGGGCCCATGGCCCATTAGTTTAGTGATTTTTTAAGTTCTGTTAGTTATGTTAACAGTAGCCTCCCTTTAAGGGCATATTTGCCATTGCACTCTTTTTATTCTCAAGCATAAAAGATAATGGCAGAGGCAGTCAGATTAGATTGGCTTCTCTTCTCTCTCTCATCTTCTATCTATTCTCTCTTCCTAATTCTTTTTCAATTCTTTTGCTAATTACTACTGAAATATTTTGGCAATCTACTCACGACCATTGATGATACAAGACTCAACTGGGACAAAGCATGGGCAGTTATCAAATGGCTTAGAAGAGCAAAGTCATTGACTTTCAGGAATCTAATTGTCAAAGGTGATTCATATGTTATAGCAGGATGGGTTATCGGTAATCAGGAGGGATCATGGACATATAGACATGCCACAAGAGAAATAAAACAACTAATACATGAGCTCGGAGGCAAAGCAAGGGGCTGCAAGGCTAGCCACTTCTTGGGGGACCTCAAGCGGATCATGGACATATAGACCAAGTACCTCAAGCGGATTGTACCAAAAAAAAAAAAAAAAGAAAAAGTACCTCGAGGGGAGATGTAACAGAAACGGTCAGCCAAGGCTAGCCACTTCTTGGGGGAGCTAAATTACATAATTGTACTAACATTTGTCCTTTAAAAGTAAAATGTTTCGACAGTAATCTATCAAAAAAATAAAAATAAAAAGATCTACAACCTATTGGATACTTTATTGCTGGCAGAAAACTTAGATTTTAACTGCAAAAGATTCCAATGGTTTTATGATTGAAATGTGAACTTCTTGAGGCCCAATACCTTTCTCTTGGAAGTGAAAGCTTCTGTCTAAGGAAGCATTTATAAAGATGTCAGAAGAGGGAAAGGCTTTTTTTTTTTTTGATAAATCAGAGGGAAAGGCTTTCTCAAGCTTTATTTATGCCAATTGGGAAAGCATTGAGTGTTCTACCTAGAAGATGCACGATAGATGGAGGTTTCAATAGCTATTTTATGAAGTGAATTTAGGAAGAAATTTGATGACGAAGAAATGTAGCAACATTATAGAGGGTTTTTATAATGAGAGCATGACCAAATGAGTTGCTTTCCCTAGTACAATTCTACATGACTATAAATATGATGCACTATAATAAACATCAAGATATTGTCTATGATTCAAATGAATTTGTCCCTATTCTTTCTTTTCCTTATAATTCTCATTATGGCATGTTCAATATGTTCCTTTCTGCTAATCAATACATCCATCTGTTTAGGTGTCAAGTTACTTACTTTAGCTGCATAGCAAGCAGCACTGAACAGCAACCTATCATTTGTAATATGCCCTTTCTCTTCTAATCTTCTTTTAATCTGCTCACGTGCTCCAACGTAAGTAACACCATATACAGATGTCATCACTGTCTGTTTCACCAATTTCCGGTCTACCTGATAGCTACCAAGATGTCAAAACCTATAGTTGAAATTTTCAAAGGTCATGTGGCAACAATTAGTTCATTGGTAATTCAAATTTTAGGAGGGAGAAGAATATTGACCTGATCAATTAAGACTTTGGCTAACAAGGCAGTTGGATCTGTGGTGGGATCTTTCTCAGCATCCATTTTCATAATGCTATGGACCCTTCAAGTTGGAAAATAAGCAGTTTTTAAGGGAAACTAGTTCATATTCAAAAAAACAGTTTAAACAAAATGGGTACAAACACACACAAGAAATGAATAAAACACACATAACCAAACCCTATTACAATTTTTTTTTATATTTTGAACTAAACCCTAATACATGTCTAAAGATAAAGGTTACTAACCAAAACTTTTCTATTTAATTCTCCCAACAGTCTCATAAATTGTCTGTTCCCTTCATCCCGACCAGTGCAAGGTGCCAAGGACTTAAAATTCAGTTCTGAGGTATGTTTCAAAATGTCTTGAAAGTTGAACAAAAAATCTTCTGATATTTTGGCAAAATCCTGGATTCAGTTCAAATTTTCAGGAAAAAGCCAGTATTTTGAAAGATTTTGTTTTGATAAGATTTATTTTCTTGTAATTCCTACTTTTATCTCTTTCCTTATCTTAACTCATTCAGTTGTCTAGGTTTTCTCCCATTTATTCTCTATGTTGGACTGAAAAAGAGGATAGAAAATAGAAACAGATTTGGTTCTGGTCTGTTTGAAACTGGAATGGGATTATGGAATTTCAGAAATTCTGATGAAATTTTAATCTTTGGTTGCAAATTACAACCAGAAAGACACACTCTTGTGCAACTGGTAATTTTTTTGGTATATCAGAGATGCATGTTGGTAATATTTTTGGTATATGTTTCACTCTTGCACAATTTTTATCAAGCATTAATTTCTTTCCATTCTCAGGTTATACTACAAGGTATTACATCAATTTTGATTTTTAAAAAGTAGCTACAAAACACAAATTCAATTTGGCATTCCTTGAAATCCTTTTCAAGTCTTATTGTAGTAAATCAACAGTTGAAAACTAATACAGAATTTTTTTTATCAGCAACACAAAGATTAATTCATTAAATTAGAAAAAGAGAGATACAACAAGAGGTTGTGAAAACAAACAACAAACCAAAAGATCTAAACCATCCCAAGTATTACAAATAAGCCCAAAACATAGTATGTCTATGAATCCCTTGCTTTGCTAAACCGTCAGCCATACTGTTTGCAGATCTCCTAACCCAATTTATTTGGATCATGTCTTTAGATAGCCATTTGAAGCACCTGGACTTATTTCTTAGTTGCCAAGTTATCCCTTCCCCCTTTTTCAGCCAACTCACAACTGTTTTTTGAGTCACCTTAATGACCAACCTCTCAATCCCCATTTTTTACCTTTCTCTACCCCATAAACCGCAGCCAATAGTTCTGACCTGACCACATCACCTTGCTGAATTGAGACCAAATACAAGGCCAAAATGTTTCCACCCTCATCCATAATTACCCCTCCAATGCCCGAGGGGCCAAGATTTCCCAAACAACTACCATCAAAATTTAATTTCTTCCACCCAACACTTGGGGATGATCAATCCTCATAAAACATTGTGTCTTCTGGAGGATGAAACAGAAATTAATCCCCCCGATCTAAAGAAATCTTCAACCTTATGGGATATAGCTTGGATCATAAAGGGTTTCTTTGCTATGACCCTCGAGCTTGAAGGATCCAGATTTCTAGAAATGCCGTCTTCCTTGAGTCTCTTTACTGTGAACCCCACCTCTACCCTCTTGGAGTCTCTTTACCAGTATGTACGGAAGTGAATGGCCGCTTCAGCACTTGATCCTCTGCTCCCTTCTCCACTAGCTCATGGCCCCTCTCCTCTTGATATTGTAAGTACAACTGTACAGATATCTCCTTCTGCAACTATTTTAGCCCTTCCTCCTTTATGTCATTCCTCTTGTACCTCCAAACCCCCTGACCACTATGGTTTTCCCACCAACCATAGCTACTTTTCTACTGTCTTGGCATCTACAGATTCCAAAGACCCATCAGCAAGCTTTGGTGGTTCCACACTGAAAAGAAGCTATGGATGTTGAAATTTAGGCCCTCACAGAAAATGATACTTGTGATCTACTGATCTTGTTCCTACACCCTCAGATGCCTCAATCATTGGCAACAAATAGGTAATATTCCGTCAAGGTGAAATCAAATGGTAGCCTTGATAGATACAAAGCTCACTTAGTCGCATAAGGATACAAACAGGTGTATGGGATTGATTATGAGGAGACCTTTGCACTAGTTGCAAAGATGACTACAGCCCAATTGGTTTTGGCTATCTTAACAATTAAATAGTGGGACATCCACCAAATGGATGTCAAGATGCTTTTCTTCATGGTCGCCTAAATGAAATAGTGTTTATGAAGCCTCCCCTTGGATATTGTGATGATCCAACTATGGTTTGTTGCCTCAAGAAATCTCTTTATGGATGAAAACATGCATCTCTTTTTGATCCAACTTGATTTGAAAGATTTCATTCTATCATTACAGAAGCTGGGTTTATACAAAGACCTTCTAACTATTCTCTCTTCATCTTGAAGCGGGCTGAAGGAATTATTACAGGTGATGATGGTGGTGGTATATCTAAATTAGCAAAAGTATGCTATGGATATGGTCCACCTTGCTTGCGTAACTGATAATAAGCAAGTGGATACTCCTCTTGAGATGAACCTCAATTTATCTAAGGATGATGGTGAACTACTTCATGATGCTACATTGTATCAACAACTTGTTGGTAGTCTCATCCACCTCACAATGAAAAGACCCAATATCTCTTATGCAGTTCAAGTTATCAACAAACCAACTTGTCAACTCCCAGACAACCATATATGACCACAATCCTCCAAATCATTCGCTACATGGGGTACAATCTCTAATGGACCCTTTTTCTCATCATCATCATCTTTACATCTATCATCCTATGTTGATGCAAACTGGGCTGGCTACCCTGATACTAGAAGATCTACTACTGGCTGGTGTGTATTCATGGGTGATTCTCTTATTTCCTAGAAATGCAAGTGTAGAGAGACTGGGCTGAATGGGCCCTAACCCATTAGTGTCTTATTTTTTAGTTCTTTCTTGTTTTTTGTTCTTAATGGGCCTTTAATTCTTGTTTATGTTTTCTAAGTATGCTGATGAGGTGGACACCCACTTAAGGGCAGACTTGTAAATTATGTAACTTAAGTAAGATTAATAAAAAGATTAGAGTGGGGGAAAGAAGAGATTATCGAACTCCTCCTTTCTCCTTTCTTCTCCATTCTTACTTCTTCTTCTTGCTGTCTTCTTCTTCTCTACTTCTTTTACTATAATCTAAAATATTCTACTATTTTTTATTGGTCTGAATCACATTGGCATCACTTTGAGGGGGGGTGTAGGGATACTATGGGCTAACTTGGTTGGGAGTTTCATATTATCATGTATCTTATGTCCAATATCTTTTCTCTCTCTCTTGTATATACAGCCTTTTCTTATTTGTTTTAGAGAAGGGCATAGTTGTCCTTTCACTTGTTTGTACTTACATGCAAGGTTCAAAGTATCGTACATCCCTACGTATCGGCAGAGGCGTATCAGTACTAAAAAAGCATGCACTTTTATATTTTATTTTAGTTTTTTCTTTCAAAAAGTGGTTTTTGCAGAGGTTTTCATGTATATTTTTTTATTAAAAGGGGGGGGGGGGGGTTCCCAAAACACCTGTAAACAGGTGTATTGGGACCCCAAAGTACAATAGGTGTGTGAACACAGTACACACCCTTTCAACTTCTGTGTACTTCGAGCGGTCTTTGTCATAATTAAAAAAAAAAAAAAAAACATAGACTGAATGTATATAAAATAAAGTATTATTTGAAAAATTCCGGTTAAGGCAACCTTCTAGGTACTGCCTTAAAGATGGTAGGTACTTTCATGCATCCAATACACATGGCTATGTTGCTTAGAGAAATAATTCATGGCAATCAAAAATTTGATTGTAAAAGAAAGCATGGGGGACCTAAATTTGTAGACAACCAATGAATATTTCAATTTGTCCAAGGAATCCATGGTAAATGTTATCATACCTAGCTGCTATTTCTGAATAAACATCTGCAGGCTTCTCTCCAGCAACCAAGTTGACTGCAGCTGCTTCCAACTGAGACAACATCCAGTATACGGAAGGATTGAACATAAATAATGAAGAATAAAACAATCATATGTCAGATTCAGCAATTGAAGAAAGAACGCAAGTCAAAACTTTCTATTGAAATCCAACAAAAGATCAATTAGGAAATTATGAGGTATGTACATCACAACATGAACCATCTTAAAATAAAATCAGATTGGAAATATCAAAGGCTACTTGGGAAAGGTTTGAATGGTTGAGACAGAACACCTAAATGAATTGCCTTGAATACAAGAGATGTTAGGAAAATGGGACCATAATATCACCATATTTCAAATCATACAAACCAAAGCCATAAAGTAAAAGATTGGAAGAATGGGCAACTAGAAAGCATACTTGGTATCTTCCAAGAGCTGCATAGTGCTGCAAACCATTGCATGAACCATCCTAAGAAAGAAATGCTCATTTCAGTTTCCATATACATAAAAAACCATGCAACAACAAAAGAAGCAGAATAAGAAGATAAATATATATCACAGGCAGAGGTATTTGAATCCATGTAACCCTATTTGTCTTCTTCTTTTCTTTTTCTTTTTTTTTTTTTTTGTGCTAAACTCACCTGCCTTGAGAAAAAGGAATAAAAGATTTAAAGATTTCAAATTAATCTTGATTTCCTTCAGGCTGCATTTGGTAAGAGCACAAGTGCAAATATGTTTGGTTCAAATGCAAACTTGGTTTTGTTTGGTATTGAGCTGTGGTTTAGCATTTGCTCTCTTACCAAACACAGCCTTACAGATCAACAACCACTGAACCAAATAATAATGATGCAAAGACTTGATGCATAAATATAATGTCAAAATATTCACATCATCCATATAAATATTTATTTTATTTAAATAGGCAACCCAATACATATTTTCATAGTAGATATGTAATGGGTAAACTATTAATTTTATTTCTGAAGCGAAAATATTAAAAGAGGACATGCAATGTGTGAACAGAACTGAGAGCAAAGAAGAGCAGATTCAGGGGTGTCTTGAATAGTCGACCCCCACCCCAAAGAGCCCCTTTTATATTAAAAGATATATACAGTTACAAGAATGCCCTTATAGGGCTGAAAGATAAAATAAGAACAAATAAAACAATATGTGTACTATACAATAGGGACTATACTAATAATATACATGGCCTTGGTGAAAATGTCGGAAATTTACATGGCCTTGGTCATGGCCTATTGACCCTTAGTCATGGCCTTGGTGAAAATGTTTCCACACTCCCCCTCAAACTGATGCGTAAACCTATAAGAAAGAGGTGTTGACCCTTAGTCATGGCCTTGGTGAAAATGTCGGCAATTTACATGTCAGAGGCTACATGAGGAAGGGATATGGAGCCAACAATGAAAAGATTTCTAATAAAGTGATAGTCCACCTCAATATGTTTAATCCTCTCATGGAAGACAGGATTAGATGCAATCTTGATAGCAGTTGTGTTGTCTGCATATAGAGGTGTAGGAGTAGGAAGTTGAGTACCAAAATCCATGAAGAGAGACTTCAACCAAACTATCTCACTATAGGCAGAAGACAAGGCTCTATACTCCGCTTCAGTAGAAGACTTGAACACGGTTTGATGTTTCTTGCACTTCCAGGAGATGAGAGAATCACCCATGAAGACGCACCACCTAGTAGTGGATTGGCGAGTGTCAAGACAACCAGCCCAATCTGCACCAGCATAAATTCTCAACTATATGGGTGATGAGGAGGAGAAAAACAGTTCCTGAGAAGTTGTCTCTAACATAACGGATGATGTGACGAACAACAGTCATATGAGGTTGATGAGGGCAGAAGCAAACTAACTGACGACTTGAACAACATGTGAAATATCAAGCCGAGTCATAGTGAGATAGATCAGAGATCCAACAAGCTGACGATACAAAGTAGCATCAAGAAGAACTAGGCCTTCAAATTTAGGCAATTTGACGTTCAGCTCCAGAGGGGTATCAACGTGTTCCTCATCAGTAATTCTAGCTAATTTGACGAGATTAGAAGCATATTTCTGCTGACAAATGAAATACTCCCGACTGCTACAATGGACTTCCAAACCCAAGAAATAAATAAGAGGGCTCAAGTCCTTCATGTGAAAGGAGTTATGAAGTAAGGACTTCAACTCAGAAATGTCGTCATGGTCATCCCCAGTTAAAAGCATGTCATCAATATACAACAATAGAATAGTCTTTGGGGCCTTCTCCTAACAAAGAGAGAATAATCAGAGGAACTTTGGCTATACCCAACCGCAACATCTCGAAAACGCTCAAACCAAGCCCAGGGTGCCTACTTCAGACCATATAGGGATTTCTTTAGGCGACAAACACATGAAGAATCACTATAATATCCATGAGGAGGCTTCATGTAGACTGTCTCCTTCAGTTGACTATGAAGAAAAGCATTCTTTACGTCAAATTGGTAAATAATCCAGAAATGGACAATAGACATGGCTAGAAAAACACAAACTATAGTGATCTTAGCAACTGGGGCAAATGTTTCTTCATAATCAATCCCATAATCCTAACTATATCCTTGGGCAACTAACCAAGCCTTATATCGATCAAGAGAACCATCTGATTTTAATTTGATCGTGTAGACCCAACGACTCCCAATAATGGAAGCATATGGAGGAGCAAGTACAAGATTCCAAGTATCATTCTCATGGAGGGTTTGAATCTCAACATCCATAGCTTCTATCCAACGAGGACTCCTAATGGCTTGCTAATAAAAACGAGGAATATCTGTGGAAGAAAGTACAACAAAAAAAGAGCTATGGCTTGAAGGAAACCATAGCGGTCAGGAGGCCGAGAAATACGAGTAGAACGACAAAGTGGAATAGAAGAACTACCATCTGAAACAGGAGGATCTTGGGGCAAAATGTCACTTACAGGAGGTGTAGGAGGAGAATGCTCTGGACTGGGTGGAAGGGGGTAGCAGGCACAAGATCTGGGACACGGGGCCGCTTGCGAGTGAAAACGAAAAGATCTTTCTCAGCAAAGGAAGTAGGAATGTTATCTAAATCAAAGTCCTGCAAAATAGAGATAGAAGGAGCAGACAATCTAGCAATTGCAGCAAAGAAAGGAATATGTTTAAGAAACACAACATTTTGTGAAATCCAAATACAACGAATAGTAGGGTCATAACACAAGAATCCTTTGTGGTCAGGACCATATCCCACAAAGGCACACATAGCAGACTGAGCAGTTAATTTAGAACGCTCACGAACAGGAAGATGTACAAAACAAAGACAACCAAAAACATGAAGACTAGAGAAGTCTGGGGAATGACCAAAAAGTTTTTGAAAGGGAGAAGTGTTGCCAATAACAAAAGAAGGAAGATAGTTGATCAAATACACAATTGTACTGGTAGCTTCTACCCAAAACGAAGTCGGAGCGTGAGATTCCTAAAGTAATGTCCGCACAACACTAAGGATATATCCATTCTTACGTTCAGCTACACCATTCTGTTGAGGTCTGGACAACTGCACTGATATTGGATTCCATAACTCCTCAAGTCGGCCTGAAAGGCCCCATCTCTATATTCTCCCCTTGAATCTGAACAGAGGATGCTCACATTACACTTGAAGTGAGCTCGCACCATAGTATGGAATAATTTAAATGCCGCCAAGACCTCTGATTTGTGTCATAGAAAATAAATCCAAGTGTATCTGATACAGTCATCTATAAACAATACAAAGTATTTGTATCCCAATCGTGAAGTAATAGAAGCAGACCAAACATCACTGTGTATAATCTCAAAAGGTGCAGTGGCATTCTCAGAAGTGTGAAAAAAAGGTAAAACATGACTTTTACTCAAGCAACAGGCAGTACAAGAAACATCAAAAGTATGAACAAGAGGAATTTTATACTTAATTAAACCAGAATCAAACAAAAACTTCAATTTTTGAGAATATGGATGACCTAATCGTTTGTGCCATAATTCCTAAACATTATTTGTATGACTCAACAAGGAACTAGACATAGAGGAACTAAGATAAGCTGAGGATGCTAGCGATTGAGATTTTTCAAACTCTAGCGCAAACAAACGGCCCAACCTATGCTCCTTCCCTTTCACCTTCCCAATGTACCGGTCCTATCAAACAACCATCATAAGAAAAGGTGAGAAAATTTCCTTCATCAACAAGTTGGCCAACAGAAATCAAATTAGTAGTAAGGTTGGGCACTAAGAGGGTTTTTGAAAGAGGGAAGGACATAGTGGGTGACAGTTTAAGGGATAAGTCATTACTACCAATAATGTCTAACTTTTCACCATTGGCAGTAACAATGTGTTTATGGTGAATTTCAATAAACTGATTTGGTTGATTGAGATAGGCTCCTATCATATAATTGGTGGCACTCGAATCTATAATCCAAGCATGTGAAGGAGAAGAACAATATCCAGAGAACTTACCAGACAAGCCAATAGCAAAAAAGCAGAGGAAATGGCAGCGGATACCAATTACCGAATCTTTTCCTCATCCATAGGTCCAATAGAATCACTTTTCACGAAAGAATCACCCTTAGTGGACATAGTGTCAGTTGCCTGCCCATTTGTTACCTGATAAGCCCAAGGTTGAGTCTTTTTCTGAGAACCCATAGTTGGTCGGACTGGACAATCTGGAATGATGTGACCATGTTGCTTGCAATAGGTGCACACATTCTTCTTCTTACAGTGAGAGGCAATATGTCCAAAGCCTTTACTCTCATAACACTGGGTTTTGGAGAAGTCCTTGGAGGTTGACTTCTTACCTCCATGAGCTACAAAAGCTATTTCAGCCCCAATTTCAGTCATCTTTCCATCAAATCCAACTGCAGTGAGAAGCCTAGTCTCTTCCCTCAGTAAAATCCAAATCTGGAAGTGTTCCTCTGCTCAGAATATTGGACCTGATTATCTCATATTCAGGTCTAAGCCTCATCAAAAACTGATTTACTTTCCTCTTCTCAAAGTGTTTTTGGAGATATCTCACACATTCTACTAAGTCCGAGGGATCAATATGGACAAGTTCATATTCAGCCCACAAATCAAGAAACCCTGCATAGTATTCTTGTATCCTTCTATCTCCTTGATAGTAAGCAAATATCTCTTATTCTATTTGATACTGTCTAGACATATTGGACTGTTGATAAACTTTCTTCAAATATATTGTAGCATGTTATGTACTAGCACAGGGGTATTTCTAGTTTTTCCTCCATTATTTTGTTATAAGTTGTCGCCCCAAGTATAAATACAAACTTAGGTGCCGACAACCTTCTTCTGAAAGAACTTATTCTCCTCCTCTTCTTCTTCTTCTCCTCTCTTTCCTTCCTCTATTCTTTTTACCTTTGCTAGACTACATGGTATCAGAGCACTGATCTGGGCGTAACCTTCTCAGATTGTGTTCTCCATCTGAAACTTTGTTCTTTGATTGGAAGAGGAAGAGAAGACTCCATCGGACTGACCTAGCTTTTCAGTCTTCATTTTTTTTCTTCTTATGTTTCTTGGTCATTGCACAAAGAAGAGGTTTGTGGTGGCAGCCGAATGCAGTAAGCAGTATTTTTAGGGTTTACTCCTAGTTTTTTATGGACTGTAGGTCATGGAATTACTACTGTACTCCAGGTATGTACTGTTACATTCATATTTAAGTGTATTTTTTTTTATCAATACCACTTTCATCAATTCATCAGTAGAAAATTTACAAGTGGAAGACAAACACACTTATCTTCCAAGAGTCACAAAGAACTTCAAGAAATGAAAAAAGAAAAGACAAAGATACAAAGACACTAACGTTACAGCTTAGCCCAAAAYAAAGAATCCCTTTCTGCCCCTTGTTTTGCTAAACCGTCAGCTAGGGAATTAGCTGATCTTYTAATCCAACATGTCTTAACTTCCATCTCCCGCACCARCCATTTGAATTTCCTCTTCTCATTATTATACTTCCATAAATCATTTTGATCTTTAGTCAGCCACCCTATCACCACCTCTGAATCCCCTTCAATTATAAGTTTCTTGATGTTCAATTCCTTAGCTTTCCGGGCTCCTTCCATAACTGCACATATCTCAGCTCTAAGGGAGTCACCCACTCCAATTCATATTTAAGTGTATGACTACTGTGAATGTCACAATTTAGGGTTGTAGGAGTTGGTTGTCTCCTTTTCCTATAAGCTGAAGTGTTTCGGCTAGGGTTTACCGACCTACAATCCAGCTGAACCTGTTTTGGAGCCTTCTTAAGCTAGGGGTGGTGGAGGTACTGCTGTTCTCCTTGGTTAGTGTGTTACTCTCTAGTTGGGTGGGTGGTGGAGGTACTGCTGTTTTGGAGCCTTCTTAAGCTAGGGGTGGTGGACGCACGTTCGCCGCGGTGCCCCAGGCTCCCAGCGGCACGGCTACCCTGAGGGCGGCCTCCTACCGGGGGCCCCACCTCGTCCAGCCTCTATGCAAGGTTGTCGAGCCTGTTGAGGACCACTTGGGATTGGTCCATCGTAACCAAGTTTTGAGTGTTCCTGGTGTTTCTTGCCATGTCGACTGAAGCTTAGGAGTTAATGCTTATGCTTTTTAGAGTGTGAATTTAGTTGAGGGAAGCCTTAACAATGTTCCCACAAACAACGCCAATTGTTTCTACCTAGAATAGGTTGAGGGCAACAAGGTAATTTTGCTTCTAAGCCAAGGCTGGCTAAAGAGTTCGAGGTCTACTGTGGGCTGGTAGGTTAGACCTACGAAGAGAGAGAGAGAAAGTCAGAGGCCTCGGGTGCTAAGGCTGAAGGCAACAAGGTAATTTTGCTTCTGAGCCGAGGGCTGGCTAAGGAGTTCGAGGGCTGGTAGGTCAGACCTGCGAAGAGAGAGAAAGAACGTTAGAGGCCTCGGGTGCTAACCCAAGGCAAGGACTCCGACAGTCAAGTTAGTACATGGGGAGTAGGAGGTGGGATGAGGCTTGAGTAAGGAGTGCTTAGACGAGGTCACATGAGAAACTATAAAGCTCTTAGTAGTCTAGAGTCTAGATGTTTACCTTGAGAGGGTTGCCCCCTATTTATACTTGAGGACGCTTGGAGGTAGGTGGGCCCAGACGGTCAAGATGTGGCCCGACCTTGAGGAGCGTGGCCATCCGCGGCCGCTCTATTGGCTTTGTGTCGCACGCCGACCTCTACTCCACGCACGCCCTCATTAGGTCCGCCCTAGGTGCCGCCGTCTGCCACGTGCGTGCGCACTATTGTTTCGGGCCATCTGCGCCTACATCAAGGGCCCATGAATTTATTACTAGCATGGAACCTCATCATTTGTTCCACAGCCTACTGAACAGCCATCACATTCAGCTAATCCAAATTTATTGGAAACTCCAGCAGTTTCTACTTTTTCTTTTTTTTATGATAAGTAATTCCTGTTTTTTCTGGGCCTGCACCCTCATGATTTTAAACATCTACAACTTCTATAGCTTGAAATTTACTAATAAAAAAAGCTTGCAATTCTGGTTCTTTGGCTTCATCCTCAACTTCAGCTCTAGGATAGGCATCAACATGCAAAGAATCATCTACTTTTTCTCAACTTTGTACCTTCTTCCCTTGACTTCAAGTTTTTTGTTGTAACCTGCTGCTTCTCTTGATTGAAATTAGCCAACTCCATATATAGATCATCATGGAAGTCTAGTGGGATGCACTTTTCTTGCAAACACATCTTCATCTATACCCATATACTAAGAGGATCATCACCTCTGTTTTCTAGTCGTTGCTCAAGAGTTCTCCACCATACTGTAGCATGACCCGTCAGCTTCATGCATGCAAATCTAATCCTTTGTTTGTCAAACATATTATGTCAATCAAAATATTCTTCTAGTTCAACAACTCAATCAAAGAATGCTTTTGGATCATCATCTCCTTTGAAATCTGTTTTTTCCCTTTCTCTTTTAACATGTTTAAAAGCCTTGCTCCCATAGTCAACATTATTACATCTTTTTTCTTCCACCATCTTCTCAAACAAGTCAACTAGAGACCCTTCAAATAAGAGAGAAAATAAACGGAATCACTCATCGGGTGCCCTAAATCACTCTAGGGTATGGGATCACTCACTATAATTAGCATAAGCCCAATTGCCCAAGAAAACTCAATAAACTTCACTGCTCTTAGTGTAAAACGTCAATACATATTTATAGATTTAAACTCATAATAATGCTAAGCGTCAAACTGTTAGACTTGTAATAGTCCTAGAAGTCAAACTGTTGGACTCAAGAATCATAGTAGGACTCAAACTAAAACTACAACTATCTTATTTCACTTCAAAGAAGACTCAATAACTCTAATCCTACTTATACAATGACTGAAAATTTAAATGTAAACAAACTATAAATAGACAAGTTAGACCCTATCATTGGACCCCACAGAAAAATTGTACAATGGAAAAAATATTCCCAGTGTCAAAAAATACAGAAATACATAAAGTTTCACAAAATTCCAATTTTGATTCTTCAGTTCCTGCATCAGGATCTCATCTTTCAAAAAAAAGATGAATAATAAAAGGGACATCTACCTACCTATACACATGCATACACTAAAAACAGAGTTTAATTAAATATTGATAAACCAAACCAACAGTTGTCTTAGTCAAACAAACATCATATATTGGAGTTGACTGTGCCAACTAAATATCTAGTAATATCAACATCTAAGTGACATACAGGGGCTATGCATTGTTGGCTTTAGGTTATTAGCTAAATCTCTGTTTCTGTTTTTTAAGCAAGAAGTGTTTAGGGTTTTCTTTAATGAAATTGAAAGATAGTTATCTTTTCACACCCCTGTTCCCATTTGTGTTAAGACCAAACATGTAGCATTGAGACTTGCTGTCAAGGTAGTACTGAAATTTGCTGTGAAGGTAAGATATCCACACTTCAGCATGGAAGTGTGTGTGTGTATACACTTCAGCATTGCAATTGCATATGCAGGAATAGTTCTTCTGTCGTTCCAAAGTTCCAGAAAAAGTAATACCTGATGTATTGGCAGATGAGAGATGGCTGTATGTGGTGATGAGCTTTTTAAGGCCTCTGACAAATTAATGCATGCTGCTAGGCACTGAAAAGGATCTTCAGCATTTAACCACCAGCGGTTTCCATCAATTGGTTTATCAGCTGAATCAAATATATCATCCAAATGGTTCTCCACAAAATCCAAACGGTCATCATAAGAAAGCTTATCCACACCACCAGCATACAGGTTAGCTAAATGTATCTTCAGCCAGCGTAAACCGGCCTTCCCTAGTGGCCGCCCTTCTGCAAACTCAAGAACTCCTCGGCAGAGATCTGAACTCAGATGATTTAAATGTGGATGCATGGGATAGGCACGACCTCGGAAATCTAAATTATGGGGATAATAAAAGCCTTCCTCATCTTTAATTTTCCGAGCTACCTGTTTCAGAAAGGACATTCCAGCATTAAAGGTGATACAAAGAAAACAAAAAGAATATAATGCAATAACACAACTGCGAAACACAACCACTACCAACCCCACCCCCAAAAAATAAATAAAAGAAAAAGGGAGACTTGATTAGCCCTGAAGAACATCCAAACATAACCAGCAGCCAAAACCTACTAAGATTTTTTTCCTTTTATAAATACGCAATTAAGTATATTAGTGATAGAAAAAGATCTACACAATGAGGTACCCTAATGGCATCAACAGAATTGGTGGGCAAAACCAAAGACCAAGTTCTAACATTTTAAATGATTTGATGGCTCGCCCATGGTGACAACAGATTTGGTGGAGTCAAAGTTCTTCATAGAATGGGTTACAAGAATGTCGTATCGAACAAATTTAAAAAAAAAATGCAACTAAAAAAAACTTATTTTAAAGCAATGGCATGCTTTTTAAATTTTCTGGAAATTCCATAGTCTAAATAAAAGTTATGATTTTTTGAAATCATGAAAATTTACCTGAGTTTAATTCCTATAGCAAACTGAGTTCATTATAGAAAAAAGTTATGTTGTTGTACACTTAATAACTTCAGAAAATAAGAGATCTTACAGAAAGTTTAAGCTCTATGTCACAACGTTGTGCATGCCTTTCTCGGTTGATCTTCTTTGTTTTTCTCATATTCCATTTCCACTTCTGCATTTCTATTAAATCCTCTGAGTCTGGTTTTTCTGGTATGGGAATCTGAAATCCATTGCAAAACATAGATTCGGTGTAAGAACAGATAAGGAAATTAAAAAAATAAAAACTAACATGGCTGCCAACTGGACTCCATAAATGGCCTACCTACTGCATCTGTTAGAATATAGTTCATTTTCAAGTACCTAACTAGGACATTTCCCAGGCTCCAATGTAACCCAATCAGTAGCTCTTAAGTATCTGAACTATCATTCTTCCAGAGAACCCCACAACATATGGAGGGTATTTCAGGTCAAATTTTAGCCAAGGAAGTGTTCATGGAAACAGCTAGGGACTTTTTTTTTCTTTTTTTGATGAATAAACAGATATGGATTGTTGGGTATTACCACCTTGAATATGCCCAACATACACTCATGGTTATGCAACAGGTAGACCATCCTTACAGTCTAGGCAAGAACTCAGATTTCTTTTTAGAACATGGAGATTGGAGAATCAGGATGTGAATAGAAGGCAAAAAAGAAAAAGAATTCAAATAGAAAAACTAATGGATATGTAAAAAGTTCTAGCCAGGCTCACATCTTCACGATCAACAAGGCCCGCCATGTTTCCACCTCTAGCCCAAATGCTCTCTACCACACCGAGTACTTTTCTATTCACCCTCCATTTGGTTCTTCCAAGTGTATCCAGGGCCTGAACAAGTGCAGTTTTAGATCATAATGCAGTTTCAGATTAACTTTGTTTTTCACAAGCAGGAAATGAATAGATCATAGTGCTGTTTTAATATTTATCTTCAATAAGCAAAGGGGAGAAATGTCCAGAAGTCAACATGAACTGATATAAGGTCATGATAACAATATCCACCATAAAACTAGGGGCATTGCAAGGATCTAGTGCACAAAAGCAAGATCTTCAATATTCACAAATTTGGTATGAAAAATCTAAAGTTTTAAGGCAATGTTTAACTGCAATGCAAGCTCTGTCCTATTTTGGATGATTTCAAGAGAAAAGCATATCCTTTATCTGGCTAATAACAGCAGAAAAAAGGATAAGCTTATATGTTCAAGATTTTGTGAGGATGAAAAAGACCTTGAAGTAATGCGATTAAGGAAAAAAAAAGAGATTGTGGGTTTTACATGCTTGAAAATGTTTTATATGTTTGATTTTATTTTTAAATTCTCATTTGAATATGCTTTACATGTTATGTTTATGTATTTTAATTTTAGATAATAGGTTTTCTAAAACAATTATTTTAAAACTTAAGTTTATATTTTTTTATTAATATTATGTTTAATATTTTTATTTTTTGCATTTTATTGAATTTTTGGCATTTTTTATTTTTCTGGCTTTTTTTTATTTTTGTGCCTGCTTCAAAAAGGCATGTGTCTCACCTTGCGCCTTGCACCTCAGGCGTAAATTGACCCCTGCATCTTATTTGAGCCTTGCGCTTTTAAAACACTGGTTTTGCGGAAAAATGGTTATATTGGACTAAGCATTGTTTTTTCTTCCACTGAATAGTTGATTATAGTAAATAAGTGTTTCAGAGGCATCTTTTTTTTTTTTTGATGAAATTGTTTCAGAGGCATCTTCCATCAAGGATATCCTTTATTAGAGGAGGTGCCTCCATCAAGGACATCCTCTATACTGCCTTTTTGTTTACTCTAGTGGCTTAGGTTTTTAGCCAATTGATCTCTAGAGATGATAACCTAATGCCGATTAGAGGGTCTATAGTGAGCTCTAAGGAGTTTAGGGTGACAGGTGATTCACAGTTTGCTACTTAAGTGATGAGATAATCATCTTTTGTGAGGAGAGAGGTGAGGAAATTATTAAGAATGTTCTTGCATTAATCAAATGTTTTGAGAGGATCTCTTAACCTTGGGATAAATTTGAACAGCAGTGTTTTTTTCTTCTCTTTTAATTAACAACACAAGTTTTATTAATTTGTTAAAAATAATGGTATACAAGAATGGTTGTGCCAAGAACCCCTTTTTTTGTGGGCTATCTCTTATACACATTTTTTTTTTGTTACAACTAATCTCCCCAGGGAAACACTCCCCAAAACAATTGTTCCATTTTTGTCCCTTGTTGTGCCAAGAATTTGGATAAGAGTTGTTTAGCAGGTACCAACCAGGTTGACAGTGATCTTGATTGCTTTGATGAAATGCTAAGGAGCCTAGGGTGTTTGGCTTCTTCTTACCCTTTGGACTATCTCAGAGTGCCTAGGTGGTAATTTTAAATCCTGTTGTTTCTGGAGCTAGGTGGTAGAGAGGATTTTGAAAGATGTTAGACATGGGATGGCGAAGAAATTACATCTCCCTTAGGGATAGAATTACTTTGATTACATTCACTTTTGCAAATCTCTATATCTACTTCTCTTGGTTTTCAAAGTCCTGCTAATAATTACAAGAAAAAAATCACAGCATGCAAAAATTGAACTGACTTCTATGAGAGTGTCTCATTGAATAAGAATGTTGGAAATTTTCAAGGATTTCAATTCTGGTACATTCTTAGAGGTTGGAAAATTTTTGCATTGTCCTCTGCTAAGAACCATAAGGAATAAAATCTGGCTCCCACTCTCACTTGATGACAAGTTGAAGTATGATAGATGCAGTGCTGCAATCTGGGTAGCTCAGAGTTGGAGGAGTATTTAGAAATGATCAAGGTAATATCATAATAGTCTATTCAGGTCCAATTGGGGTTGGTGCCTCTGTTTGAACTGAAATACTTGTTCCACTTCAAGGCCTAAGGTCAGGATGCTCTTTGGATCTCTTGAATCTAGTGGTACAGGAAGAAGAGCTGGAAGTAGGAGACTCCTTATTGGTTATTTCTTGGGCTAAGAAAATCAACTCAGCCCCTTGGAAAATTTTCTTGCAAAGAGTTTGAACACTTGTTTTTGGCTGGGTTAAAAGGACAGCAAATGGGATGGCAGATGTTCTAGCAAAACAAGGAACTGATAGATCTACTTTATTTTGGGCAATGTTGTAATCTGTTAGTGGTAAAACAGGGAGCTAACAAAACTAAGCATTGGGGGCAAGCTGTATCTGATGTATTATGGGCACTTGTATGTGATCTCAAAGTTTAATAAAGAAATTTTATTCTTGCTGATCCAAAAAAAAAAAAAAGAAAAAGACAGAGAAATCAAAATTGGGTGCACGAATAAAAGCTGCAACAGGGCCCCAGCAACATCGTCATCAAATTAGGGAAGTTGGTTCATGGCATTCATTTTTCTGTCCTTTGTGTTGCCCAATTTGCAAATTATCTAGCTGATTCTCTCACACAAGATAGAGAGAGAGAGAGAGAGAGAAGAGAGTATAACAGATAAGACGATAGGCGGTGTTTTCAATGGATAGATCCAAAGCTCCTGGTCCAGATGGCTTCACAATGGCTTTTTATCAAGATTGTTGGGGTGTTTCAGGAATTTGCAGATAAAAACAAGGTAAGCCCTGGAGTTAATGCAACCTTCTTAGCCCTAATCCCAAAGAAGATAGATGCAAAGGACCCTAAGGATTTTAGGCCGATCAGTCTGGTGACTAGCATCTATAAAATTTTGGCTTAAATGTTGTCTCTGAGAATCTAAGTGATACTACCATCCATCATTAGTCAAGCACAAGGTGCTTTCGTGCAAGGTAGGAAAATAACATATCAGATTTTAATAGCAAATGAGTGTGTGGAGGACATGAGAAAGTCGGGAATCAAGGTTTTGCGTGTAAGTTAGACCTAGAGAAGGCTTATGATTTTGTGGATTGGAGTTTTTTACTAGAGATCCTTGGGTGTTATGGCTTCGGAGATAGATGATGCAACTGGGTAAAGGGCTGTATTAGTTCTTGCCATTACTCAGTCTTGGTTAATGGGGTGGTCAAAGACTATTTTCCAGCTTGTAGAGGCCTTAGACAAGGAGACCCACTCTCCCCGTTCCTTTTCACCTTAGTTGCAGATGTTTTCAGCAGATTAATCTCTAAGGCAGATAGGGAAGAGAAAGTGAGTGGATGGAGGATTGAAAGGAACAATGTCCGGGTAACCCATCTACAGTTTGCTGACGATATCATAATATTTTGTGAAGGAGGTGACACGAAAAAAGTGAGGAACCTTAGAGCATTGTTACAACATTTTGAGAAGGTCTCCAATTTGAAGATAAACCTGGATAAGAGTTGTGTGGTCGGTGTCAATATGAATGAGGGGATTATTCAGTCTGTGGCAAATTGTCTAGGTTGTCCTGTTTCTTCTTGGCCCTTGTAGTACCTAGGTCTCCCTCTAGAGGCTAACCCAAGAGAAAGTAGTTTTTGGAATCCAGTTTTGGAAAAAATTGAGAAAAGGTTAGCGGCTTGGAAAAGAAACTATATCTCTATAGGGGGTAGAGTGACTTTATTGAGAGCAACCCTAGCGAACCTACCGGTCTACTTCTTGTCCATTTTTAGGATACCTAATAGGGAGGCTAAGAAGCTAGAGAGGTTAATGAGAAATTTTCTTTGGGAGCCAAGGGAGGAAAAGGAAATCATTTAATTAATTGAGGAATAGTTTGTAGGAGCAAAGAGGAAGGTGGACTGGGGTWAGGTAGGTTAACTCTCAAGAATAAAGCCCTATTAGGAAAATGGTTGTGGAGGTGGCCTAGAGAAAGGGAGAGGTTGTGGCATGAAGTGATAGCTAGTATACATGGAAGACTGAAAAACGGATGGGATGCAGGTGTATCAAGACAAGCAACGTTGGCATCTCCTTGGAAAGCAATCCAAAGTATCCTCCCTCAATTTCTCAACTTTGTCAGGTATGATGTCAATTCCGGTAACCTTGTTTTATTTTGGGAAGACAATTGGGTGGGGACTGCTGCTCTAAAGGACCAATTCCCTTCTCTTTTTTCTATTTCCCTTTACAAGGAAAAAGTTATTTCTCATTTTCTTCCATCTCCTATTTCATCTTCATCCTTAACTTGGGATTTTGGCTTTCAGAGAGGTTTGAGGGATGATGAACTTAATAGTGTCTCAGATCTGTTGTCTTTTCTTGGCAGTGTCTTTTTGGACCCTCTTAGTTTGGATGTGAGATTATGGTCCCCTAATCCAAAAGGGTACTTCTCTTGTGCTTCTTTTTTTAAGTCCCTTTCCTTCTCCCCAAGTCAATGGGGTTTTTCGACCAAGGAGATTTGGTTTAGACCTGTTCCACCAAAATTGTTATTTTCTATTGGGAGGTGCTTTATAGAAAGATTAATACCTTGGACCGCTCACAAAAGAAAAGGCCTTTCATGTGTTTATCCCCTCACTGGTGTGTACTTTACAGGGCTAATGGGGAGGATTGCTCTCATCTACTTGTATCTTGTTCCTTTTCTAGAGCCATTTGGAGTTGGATTTTTTCTTTGTTTGGGTGCAGGCGAAATTTGTCTACGGATTTAAGTCAGCTATTTGATCCTTATTTTTTTGTGTGGCCTACAAAAAACGGAAAAATGATGTGGAGATGTATTTGAGCAGCCGCATTGTGGACATTTTGGGAAGAAAGGAATGCAAGAATATTCAAGGAAAGGAAAGAAGCATTCAGGCTGTTGAGGATTGCATCTTAACTAGGGCCATTCATTGGGTGAGAACTATGGACCTCTTTCATACTTTTTCCTTTGATGATTTTTGGAGAAATTGGTTAGTGTTGGCTAGCAGCCATACAAGGAAGGACAGGGTTTCTGCAGTGTGGACCCCTCCGCCTGAAGGATGGGTAAAGCTGAATTTTGATGGCAGCAGCCAAGGAAACCCAGGCCCATCGGGAATAGCAGGGGTGCTAAAAGATACGGAGAGCAATATATTAGCCTTATTTTCAGGTCCTGTGGGATTAGGAGACTCTAATAGAGCTGAGATTTTGGCGGCGGTACAAGGTATTCAGATTGCAGAACAATTAGGAGTTCAGCATTTGGTAGTTGAAGGACACTCTCAAATTGTTGTGGGATGGCTGACAGATCCAACTTCAGCCATGTGGCGACACAAAGATTTATTAAGGAAAGTCAACTGGTTTGCAAGAAATATGACAGTTACCTTTTGTTGGGAGGGAAGATCAGAAAACACCTTAGTGGATGGATTAGCTAAGCAGGGGGCAAATAGGGAACATTTATTTTGGGCTGCTTTGTAATTGTGTTTATGACTAATTCTGTTTTTTATTTGATGTAATACTGCCCTGAAGAGGTAACAGCTCGTGCCTCTTTTGAGTTCCCTGTACTGCCTTTTCTGAATTAATAAATTATATTCATTCATAAAAAAAAAAAAAAAAAAAAAAAAAAAAAACAGATAAGACGATAGGCCTTGTACTGGGGATTTCATCCCTTAGATTAGAGGAGGGATTTGGGAATGGGACACTGGAATATTGTATCATATGGGGGTGAGTAGCACAGGTCTACCTCTTTATCTTCATTATTATTGGGAAGATGATTCTTCACCTTGTAATTCTTATTATCTTCTTCTTTAAAAAAAAAAAAATCTGATCATTACCAATAAAAAGGGATAAGCAATATCCTTTTCAAGAAAAATGGCTTTGAGTCACTGTACAAAAAAGTCAGGTACAGCTGTAATACTTCTTATTTGGGATAGGTAGTTGGTCCGACCTATAATTGGGGCTGTTGGTCTCTAATAGAGCTGTCACCTGTCGATGGATCAGATTGGGTTTGGGTCAGCATGGAATGGTCCTGACCCATTTATAATTGGGAACAACTCAGAACCAGAACTAAACCAATTATTAATCGGGATAATTGATTCAGACCCAATTAGACCAGATTATACTTGACATTTATAATTACCTATAATATGACAACTTGGAATTTCATTTTTGATAAATATAACCTTAATAAAAGTGCCAGTAAATACCAAAATGCTTATATGTTGATAAAACAAGTATTTCTTTAACTAAAATTATCTTATATATACCCCTTTAGACATAAAATATAGCAAAGTTTACAAGAAAACCATGAGACCCTTATACAATATTGAGTACATAATCAGTTTGGGTCTTAATCAGTTCAAAATAGAAAAAACAGGTCCTGGCCAAATTATAATTAGGACACAAAACTCAGAACCATAATTGGCATTATCAGTTTGGTTCTATTGGGTAGACCCAACCAATTGACAGCTCCAGGCTCTAATCCTTGCACATACTTTATCCATTTATTGATTTTCATCATCAACACCAACCGAGCTCCAAGAGACTGCCGAAATGATTTTGTTACACCCCACTAGCTACCAGGCAATAAAGGAATAGATGATCTGCCCATTTTTCATTATTTTAAACATATAAAAGTTGTTCTAAAAGGCCATTACCCAATGTTGGTCCCAGCTATCTGGGGCCTTAGGAGGGGTAGACTGGATACAGGCCTAACCTTTGGCATTTTTATTCACACAAAGTGTTTGCCCAGTGCCCTCAGACTCGATTTTGGCCCTTCAAATGTAAAGTGTGTTTCCATGTGTTGCCTATAGATATGCTTTCAGCAAAAGTCCCCCTTTATGTTTGCAGCCAAATATCCAGGAAGCTTCAGTGTGAGTAGATTAATTAAGTCAAGTATTTTCATTGAAGAATAAGAGTTACAGGTTCATGGGCGGATAAGATATAAGATGCTGAAAACAAGGATTGTAAATGCACGCTCATAATGATATATGACAGTATATGGCCACATCAATTGAAAGATGAAAGGTCACCCTGCAGTACAATTTGGGGAAAGATAGTATTATTTTAAGGACAGTGATGTGATATCTGTAGTAATGATGCCAGATAATGCCTGTGGAGCCCTTATTAGTTAGATGAAAAAGTAATGACATCATTAATCTTCAAGAATATTCTAATGATAAATAAATGAAATGGAACTATTACCTCAAATACTTTTTGCATCTGCTTTCCAGGAACATTCTTAATCGCATCTTGTTGTCGCTTTGCCCCATGAGTACGCATAACATATGAAGGTAAGAATAAGTGACCACCCTTGTCATAACTGATAGAAAAAAAGGATCAATAAGGACAGGATATGTATGATTTCTTGACTTTTATTCTTAGAATAGTCACTTTTCAACTTATCCAGCTGTCGCCTTACAACAAAGATGTTGATAATTGCTGCCTTTAAGTTTGGAAATGATCTACACTTACTTTTTGCCCTACTTTCTTATGATGACAATAGAAATACAGTCTCATCTTAAGCAATTAAAGCATTTTTCCTACTTTGTCCCTATAATTGAATTCTAGGCTAAGAAATTATGGTATTTTTCTTCTCATTGCATATGCTTAAATGTAGGTAATAACATTAATTTGAAAAAGCAGTGTGTCAACATCTTTCTGAAGGGCCAGACAATGGTATTTTCCTATTTATGTATTTCTTTGTTTTATTCGTTGTGGGTAGGGGATGATATTATATAGTACAAAATGCCTCTGATTAAATTTCTCATCCAGCAAATACATCCTTCAAACTAGAATATTAAATAGTTGGGTTGGAGATGGGAGGAAATAGAAACTGTATATCAACATAATATGCATCCTTGATATGGTACCCTTTCCACTTTTTTGGTGGTATCAACATCGGCACATAAGGAATCACCATATGCCTAGCCTGCAAATAGACAGCATCCAAGAAATTAGCTACAGGGTGAAAAATCAAGATACTGACATTTTTTAAGTGGCTGGCTATGCATATTTTAAATTTTCCAACAGAATATGCTCATTTCTTCCATATGGTAGAAAATATGATATTCATTTAGAAGCTGAACATCAACTCATGCAGAGTTAGACATGAGACCTTGACAATTACCAAAGTATGTGTATTATGATATTGATCCTATATTAATGCAAAAAACATATTTATAAACAACCATCAAATAATGCAACAGCAAGCAACTTCATGGTCAATTTCATCTCAAGTGGCCCAAACAAATCAGGATAATGCAACCGTGAATAATAAGTTGATAACTTACAGTTCTATCAAGTCCTCTACCGACTAGTGGATCACATTCAATGACACCATACCTCTTCCCAACTCTCCGGCTGTATGGAGAAAAAAAACAAAAACAAAAAAAAAAAATCATAACCATGATGAAATGTCGAGACAAAATGTAATGGAACTAATGATAAATTCATCCTCAACGCTCCATACCCGATACCAAAGTACATGTGGCTGATCATTTGTCCACTCCCAACATCTTAACTAGTTGCCCACTTCTTGATTGAGAATCACCCAAAACTTAGATCAATTAAAAAATCTTCTTTGAGAACTAGAGTTCAAATTTTATGACAGTCAAGTAAGATATAACAGTGATGGAAAAAATGATTGACATATAATCTTCTAGAAGTATCCAGCCAATACAACTTCAAAACCATGCTACTCGCATAAATGGAGCACTTATCATATAGTCCAGAACTCCAGATTGGTCACCTAGTGGACCATGATTATTTCATGGACAAATAAGGTAAAGATCGTTGAGGATGAATTATTGAAGACAGAAATGAAGTCATACCCTGTTTCCTTTGATAGAGTTCTAAATGTGTGCCGAAATGCTGGTCGAATTTCACGTGGACTATCTCCTAACTGGTTAATTGGAGGTTGTACATAAGCTGTTTCAGTTAATAACTCTATTAGACGACTTCCCAGCTGCATACATACAGAAAAGTTGTCTTTCAAAATCAAGGGTAGATAAAAAGCATAGTAGAAAATTTCTTAAACATTCAGAAAAGAAAAGGAGACAGAAGGCAGCAAACCTTTGCCTGGGCATCCCGACCCCAAGGTCTAATCTCATTCTCATTTTTTACAAGCTTTTGCACCTCAATCAACTTTTTCTTTTTCACCAAAATGTTAACACGTTTCCTGAGAATATCTTGCTCCTTAGTTACTTTGTCATCTCCTTGACCTTCAATCTTTTTTCCACCTTGGTATTTTTTAGTTTTCTTCAAGAAATTATGAATTCTAACCTGCATGAAGAAGTAAGTAGGCAATATTATGACAAGCAAGCAAGCAAGACAAACTCTTCAGCTTGGACTATCTACTATGCTTCCAACATTTACTATGAATCATGTACATTTGGTGCTGCTTGAGTGCTTCTCAATAACATCACATAAGTAACATTCAGTATAAAGACAGATTTCAAAATTTTGGTCCAGGTAACAGGGTTTTACTCTGCGGTTGACTTGATTGATCAACTTAGTTTGACTATTTCTATGGTCCTTGTACAAGCAGGGTTTTTGGTTGCTACTTGCAAGTGCCTCAATCTTAGTCTAACTGAAACAAGTGACTAAGGGGATGTTCACCAACATGTATGACTTTGCCTTTCAATAGAAAGAAACTGCTGCATCAGCAAAAAACATGGTTTTGTTGATGCGGAAGCTCTTTTTATTTTTGAAAAACAAAATCATACATATCGGAAAACACCCCCTAAGTGCACTAGATCAGCTTTCCACAGATGAACCTATGGCGATTCTTTCTGACAACTAAATTTACATCTACGGCAACTAATCATCATGGACGTAAGAGGCACATCCAAGTGAACTGTCAAAGACATGCTGCACTCCATAGGTAACAAATCAAACATCAATGGAGTGACATTTATTGATTAAAGGGATATCCTTGGACAACCATCTTAATAATCCGGTTCACCAACTTGATGATGAACTATGAGACTTGCATAACACTATCACAAGTAATGGAAATAAACAATGTAATATTATTCACAATTACATGCATTTATTCAACTGAGCTTTTGTTGTTTCCTTGGTTTTTTTCTCATTATTAGGATAAATTGCAGGGGATAATTCATCACTATCTCAAATGGGTGAATTTGTTGGGTTCTTTCTATTCATCGTCGCAAGTTTGAACACAATAACTAATACAAACAAAAACGTCAAAGACTAACCTCCTGCTCAATGGCCTCGCCTATGTGAACGGCAGCTTGAACAACCCGAACATACCCTTCTTCTTGCCCTGTCATCAATAGACCCATCATCTTATGCATGACAATTACCGCCATCTTATCAGCTGGCAACAAACCAATGTAAGGCGCATAAGCAGCCTTCTGCTTCTTTGACTCCTGCAGCTTCTGCTCTTTCTCTATTGCTTCTCGTAGAGGCTCAAACCAACCAAGAAATAGAGACTTCACATAAGGCAAATTTGGAGCCAATTTCTTCTCACACATCTCTCTTTCTAACTCCCTGTACTCAGCCGCAGTCTTCTCCCACGCCTCAGTCTCCACCTTAATCTGTCTTCTGCGAAGTGCGTTATACTTCCTTTTCTCCATGTCTCGAAGTCTTCCTCTCTCACCATCTCCAAATCCCTCCTCAAGACCCTTCAAATTACGAGCCGATAAAACAGAAGAAATCCAAGGTGGGTCGTCGTAAAAGACCCTTCCAATGGACTCCCCATTCAAAAGCCGATGAACCCCATTAGTAATTGTCTGTAACTTCATTGATTCCTCAAGGCTCTCTATGAAATTATCATCAACTGAATCCGGCACGGTGGGAAACTCGAGAGAACGCGAATGGGACGACTTGACAAATAACCCCGGATTAAGTGAAGGCAATTGAAGCCCAGAAGGGAAAGGACAAGAACAACTCGATTCATTGAGCTCCATTCCGTGAAAACGAATGTTGGAGCTAAGAATACAATCAAAACCCAGATTTTTCCGTGAGTTCAGGGCCTTCAGGCCTTGCTTTCTTCCTCCTTTTCTCCATGTATTCTGGATTCGAGAGCGAGGATACGGAGTGAAGGAGACCGTCGAAGCCAGTTCTACAATCTAAGAAGAGTCTAAGAAGAGAGAGAGAGAGAGAGTGAAATGTTACAGAGTAGAAGTTGGAGCTGAAGAAACCTCACTTAAACCTCCCGCTGGCTTGAATTTTGTGGACGGTGGTAATTTTGGTTCGGTTGATTTTTGTCCAAACCTATGATATTTTATCGCCCGGTCTGGCTTCGTCTCCGTCTCGGCCTCTCCGGCTTATTAGAATATTAGGTTCTGTTTGGATACTATGTGAATCTAAAAGTTAGTTTTCAAGTCAGGCTAGTTTGAGACTTCTTGAAGTTTACGTAAACTTGCGATAGTAGTTAGTAGAGGAGAATAGAGTTAGGGATGAGAGCGGATCTCCCATAATCAGTTTTGTATATGCAGGGGGATCTCCCGAAGTCTATCTTTTTTTTTATTTTTTTTATTTTATTTCATATTATTTTTACAGACAACCATTAAATAAAGTAAGAGAGATTTACTTCTTATAAATTATCTTTAATCTCTATTCATCTCCCAAATAATCTTTAAATTATCTTTAGTTAAAGTAGTATAATTGATCTTTAATCCTTATTTATCTCCTAAATTATCTCTAACAAAAGTGGCACCACTATCCCCCTCTTTCTCTTAAATTATTTATAATATCTATTTATCTCCTAAATTATCTTTAATTCATATTTATCATCTCCCCCACTTTTTAATATTCAAATAATAAAAAAATAAAATACTATTTAAATATTATAATAATTAAATATTTTAAACAATAAAATATTACAAATAGATAAATAATATATAGCAAAATATTTAATATTATGTAATATCTTTCAAATAAACCAAATTTAAATAACAAAAATTTTAAATATTTTACATGTTACTTAAATATTTAAATAACTAAATATTTTAAACAATGAAATATTTAACAGAACTAAATTATGAATAGTTAAAATAACGAAATTATATAATAAATTTTAAAAAATTCTAATAGTATAAAAATAATTATAATTGATTATATTATAAATTATATTTTAATTAAAAATAATTTATATTTTATAGATTTAATAACTAAATTATGTAATAATAGTATACATTATAATTTTATGGATTATTAAATTCAATAAATAATTAATATTTTAAAATTTAAATAATGATATTATTTAAATAAGTAATTTTAAATATTTTAAATATAAAAATTAATAACTAAATATTATTTAAAAAAAGATTAAATAAAAAATTATTTAAAAACTTAAAAAATTAGGAAAAAGCACAAAAATAATTGTAATATACTTAATAATATTGGATAATAAGAATATAAAACATAAATAATTTTAAATTTTAAAATATTATTGAAATAATGAAAAATATTAAATTTATCATTTATAAGTGTTTTATAATTATACATGATATCTCTATATACATAATTATATTATGGGAAAATTCCTATAGGTACCCTATACTTTAGGCCGAGTGCCAATTTAGTACTTGAACTTTAAAATGCGACAATCTATTACCCAAACTTTCATTTTGCGACAATCTAATATCCCACATTAAGTCATTATTAAGTGTTATGGGAAAAGACACAAATATCCCTTAAGTTTCATCTAATTTTCTTTATCAAATGAATCCCAAACAAAAGGATAACCTTTTCAAAATCCAATGTTCCATCACTGCCACCACTTGCTACAAGTTACAACTTCAGAAGTTGCCCCGGCGACTACAGTTGCTGTCTTCTCTTCCCTCGCGAAGGAGCACAGGGAACTAACCGACTACTACGGAGCAAAGAAAGCGTCGTCCAGCCACCTCTGCTCGCGAATGGGGGTATTATCTGCCCCTCCTGTGAAAGGTGAACTCAGGAGCGCATGGAGAGCGCTTTGGACCTTGTTTACGCACTTGTGGTGGCGGATGCGCCGAAGGACGTCGCTTTTGTCCAAGGTTTCGGAGGCGTGAGAGGGTTTTAGATACAAGCGACTTGTGATGGGGTTTTGGGTTTCAGGGTTCTTCTTCTAATCTCGAATTTTTTACTATTCACCACCATTGTTCATCTGGTGACACTCCTTCTCTTCTCCCAGCAATACACCTCTGATCCCTTCATCCCTCATTGTTTTCCTGCTTTCTTCCATCGAGAAAGAATCAAAAACTCCATTTTAATTTGCTAATTCGAACCCGAATTCACTAATCACCTTCTTCGATTCAATACAACGAAGGCGGCAGCTAACACTCAATCAGCTCGCAGCGGTGAAATCCAACTACTTTTTTTAGCCACATTCTAGTGGCTCCTGATCATTTTTGGGGGGTAAATCTTCATACAAAATGCTTCATCGGTCTCCCTGTCATCATTGACTCCTCAAACACATTGAAAGCCATTATTTGAAGACAAAAAATCAAAACAGAGCTAATAGAATCATCTCTTGTTGCATCGTCTGAGTTCAGGTTGGGTTATCAGATGCATTTTAATTCAACCTGTTGAAAATGGTGCACCAAATACCAACCACAGACCGAGCTGATGAAGCAAGCAACCATCGGAAGGGCTTAAGCGCAGTCAGTGTCCCTATTTGCCATAGTTGCTTTGCTCCATTAGATGGACGGTCTTAAACTCTTTATCCTCCCACGGCCATGGTGGTGGCCAGCGGCGAGCCGTTTGGATTCTGTTTCATTTTTTTGAGAAACAAGATGATGAACAATGTATTTTCTTTTCAAGGGTAATTTTGACGTTTTCAAAATTCTTAAGTGGCATATGAGGTCATGTGATATACATAACTGACGGTCCATTATTGCTAGGTACTACATTGTCGCAAAATAAAAGTTCAGGTACTAGATTATCGCATTTTAAAGTTCGGGTACTAAATTGGCACTGTACAAGGTACTTATCAGGAATTTTCCTTTATACTATATATATACATAAAATAATAATTCTTTAGGCTTCAATTTTAGTTGGATAGATATGGTTAAATTCACATCCTATTTAATTAATAATGAATGAAAATTCTAACATCCAAGTCTAGGATAATCAAACTCAAAGCCAAATCGGATATCATACTTTCAAAGTCCAATTGGATAGAGACATTCTAATTTTTGGGGTTTGAATATTTTTAGTTGTGTTTCTCTCTAGTGTTTAGGAAACTAGACTTATGTATTTATGTGTTTTGTGTAACTTTATAGTATTTATGTGTATCATGGTAGCTTAGGACTTGTAGATCTCAAAAAGTTACACAAAACCACAAAAAAAAATCACTTAAATCGGACATCAGAGTGCAAGGTTGTGGCCTCTGAAAGTTTGTATATACATTAAGTGTGCAACTCATAATCCAATGACGAGATTGAACGGGTCAATGGTTGAAGCGTCTAAGTTGGGTGGTTTTTGACCAAAGGGCATGCTACAATAGAACCAAACCCAAAATCAAGGTTAGGTGATGGTTTGAACAATTCAATTGGCCATGTCAACAACGGGTTAAAAACACCAGTATCAATTTGGGTCGGTTTTAGTTTGGTCGGTCAATTCAAAAGACTTAAACTTAAAAAAATTAAATTAAAATTAAAAAAATTATAATGATATTATTAAAAAATAAATTTTAAATTTGCAATTTTGTTCAGTTTACAAATAGCCAAACTGAAGCTAACCTAACCTGGTTAGGTTGGGAAATTGCTAAACCAAAGCTGACTAGTAATACTAGAAAGTGATCAATTCGGGTAGAGTTGGTGAGTTTGGTTAGTTTGACCGTTTCATCGATTTGATGAACAACCCTAATTAAAATTAATTATTGTTAGTTTTTTATTAAAAATAATATATAAAATATAAATAATTATTAATTATTTAAAAAATAAAATTATAAAACAGTTGTATTATTTTGAATGTATTTTGCCTGTACATGTTTGCATTTGTACTCTTTTGCAAATTGAGCTTAAGGCTGCCCTTGGAAACAATGCAAATGGAGTGTAAATCCCGGTTTAGGGTAAATTTGCACTCTGGTTCACTTTTACCTGCATTTGGCAACACTACATTTATGCATTGACAAATGACAGAAAACACATTTTCCAATGCGTATTTATATTGATAATAAGATGTAAATGCTGCGTTTGGAAATGATGCAAATATGTAGAGTGTAAAATAGTTTATATAAATTGCAAAGTTGGATTAGTTTTGCACTAACAAATTTACCTTCTTACAAAATAGACTTTTAGATGTAATGGATGCAAACATTAATTTCAATAAAGCATATGCTTTTTTTTATCAAAAGCTCACTTGAATGCAAATTTACTTCTTTTTTATTGGTGTACTTTTACATCTTATTATCAATGTAAATATGCATTGGTCTGTCATTAATAGGGGTGGAACTTGGGTGGGCCTAGCCCGAGCCTGAACCGGCCCAACCTAAAATTTTACACGGGCTAGCTTGGATTTTCGGTCCTTGGGCTGGGCTCAAGCCCAAGAAGTTGGGCTTTTTTATTTTTTGGGCCAAACTCGGGCCTAGCCCTTAGGTAGCCTAAACCCGGTCCGAGCCCGACCCAATTATATACATTTATACATATATATGTAAATGTTGCATACATATTTGTATATATAACATTTGTATAGATATTTTGCATACATATTTACATACATACATAAATATGTGTATATATATTTGCATAAATACATTTATAAATGTATAATTTTAGAGTGGGTTCATTGACCAACCTGAGCCCGGCCCGGGCCTAAGCCCAACCCAAGTGCATCAAATTACAAGGCAGGTTGGGAAAATCGGGCTTAACCTCAGGCTCGGGCCGGGCTTGGGCCTTAAACCCAAAATTTAGGGCTGGACCTGGGTTGACCATAAACCCGGCCCAACCCGCCTGACTTGCAATCCTAGTCATTTATCAATGCATAAATGTAATGTTGCCAAACACAGGCAAATGTGAACCAGAGTGCAAATTTACCTTGAACCAGGATTTATACTCTATTTGTATCGTTTCCAAACGCAACCAAAAGTACATTAATAAAAAAGAAGTAAATTTGCATTTAAGTGGGCTTTTGATAAAAAAGGTCATATGCTTTATTGGAATTGTATTTGCATCCATTACAGCTAAAAGTCTATTTGTAAGAAGATAAATTTGTTGGTGCAAAACTAACCCAACTTTACAATTTATATGGACTGTTTTACACCCTACATATTTGCATCGTTCG